TCATAGGGCCAGAGGGTTTAAATAGGTAATCTTCAAATAGATTTCAGGTATGGCAGCTAGTGTAGAACCTTCGGGCAAACTACTTAAATTAGATAATCTAAAGTTGTATGTGTGGCTAGTTGTACTCTAACAATATGTAATCATTTACTCACTATCAATACCAATAAAAAGTTCGGCCGATGCCATTTTGTATCAATAAAAAAAAAAAAAAAAAAAAAAAAAAAAAAGACTTAAGCTAATTTACCTATGACCCAAACTTAACCAAGAGGGACCAAAACCTCATTTAGATTATGATTTTTTCTATAAATAACGGTAAAACATTGTTTTTACTAAATTTAGAACTCCATATCCCGAGCTTTGTGTTTATCTTTTTTTGATTTTTTTGTCTTTTGGTATCTTCATTTTCTCTTGTATTTTCTGGTATAGATTTCGATTTTTGGTTTGCTTTTATTGTTTGCCTAGGGGTTTGTGGTGTTTGGTTTGCTACTATTTGGCATCATGGAATCCATATCTCTTTGTGTATAGCTTTTGCGAGTTTGTGGAAAATATAGATAGCCAAGTTGTGTAACCCTTTGTATTCATCTGTGATTTGGTTAATACATATCACATCCTGCAGATGTAGTAGTCCTAGATTATTGTGTCGTATGCCATCTGCTGTGATTGTATTTAGTAATCTTGAAATGGCGTTATTAACAAGTTGGATATTGTTTGTACTATTTTCTTTGTATTTGGTAAAGGTCTTGTTTGTAGTTTGTATTATAAGGTTGTTAAGTTTGGTTCTGTTTGTCTTGTAGTTTAACATGTGTGAGATAGTTTCTTCAGTTTCTTTGTATCTTAGGCATTTTGGGTTTGGATATTTTTGTGGGTTTCTTTTATGTAAAGTTGTTTTTTTTTTTTTTTTTTTTTTTTTTTTTTTTTATTATTATTATTATTTATTAATAATATCAAAATAAGAAAAGAATTAGTACATTTGTATATCATGATAATATATATGTAGATTTAATATATATTCCTAAAATACATTGTTGTTACTAATACTAGTTAGTTATTCAATATGATATTACACCCTCATTTTCTATTTGTTAGCTAATTTAAACTGAGATTACTATTAACTATAGAAGAGGTTGAAGGAGACCTCTGAGATTAGAAAGAAAAAAGTTAGAAAAAGCAGTTGTATAG